GGGTATCCCCAACTGTCACTCCATATGGTGTAGATAATGTTTGACTAGGAACCCCCACTGTCACTTCATATGGTGGAGATAATATGAACTGGGTATCCCCAATTTTTATTCCATATGGTGGAGATAACCTTAAACTGGGTATCCCCAACTGTCACTCCATATGGTGTAGATACTGTTAGACTTGGAATCCCTAACTGTCACTCCATATGGTGTAGATACTGTTAGACTTGGAATCCCTAACTGTCACTCCATATGGTGTAGATACTGTTAGACTTGGAATCACCAACTATCACTCCATATGGTGTAGATAATGTGGAACTGGGTATCCCCAACTGTCACACTTCATATGGTGTATATAATGTTAGACTGGCTACCCCTAACTGTCACTACATACGGTGTAGATAATGTGAAACTTGGTATTAGTATTCTCAACTGTCATTCCAAATGTTGGAGATAACTTTGAACTAAGTATCCCTTATTGTCACTCCAAATAGTGTAGATAATGTTAGACTAGGTACCGCCACTATCACTTCATATGGTTTAGATAATATGAACTGGGTATCCCAAACTGTCATTCCATATAGTGGAGATAATGTGAACTGGATATCCCCAACTGTCACTCTATATGGTGGAGATGATGTGAACTGGATATCTCGACTGTCACTCCATATGGTTGAGATAATGTAAACTGGATATCCCCAACTGTCACTTCATATGGTGTAGATAGATCATGAGGGAACTGGGTATCCCCAACTGTCACTCCATACGGTGTAGATAGATAATGAGGAACTGGGTATCCCTAACTGTCACTCCATATAGTGTAGATAGTAGATAGATAATATGAGACTAGGTTCCCCCAACTGTCACTCCATATGGTGTAGATAGATAATTAGGGACTGGGTATCCCCAACTATCACTTCATATGGTGTAGATAGATAATGAGGGACTGGGTATCCCAAACTGTCACTCCATATGTTGTAGATAGATAATGTGGGACTGGGTATCCTCTAATGTCATTTCATATGGTGTAGATAGATAATGAGGGACTGAGTATCCCCAACTGCCACTCCATATGGTGTAGATAGATAACGAGGGACTGGATATCCTCTTATGTCACTTCATATGGTGTAGATAGATAATGAGGGACTGGGTATCCCCAACTGTCACTCCATATGTTGTAGATAGATAATGTGGGACTGGGTATCCCCAACTGTCACTACATATGGTGAAGATAGATGATGAGGGACTGTATATCCTCTAATGTCATTTTAAATGGTGTAGATAGATAATGAGGGACTGGGTATCCCCAACTGTCACTCCATATGGTGTAGATAGATAACGAGGGACTGGATATCCTCGTATGTCACTTCATACGGTGTAGATAGATAATGAGGGACTGGGTATCCCCAACTGTCACTCCATATGGTGTAGATAATGTTTGACTAGGAACCCCCACTGTCACTTCATATGGTGGAGATAATATGAACTGGGTATCCCCAATTGTTATTCCATATGGTGGAGATAACCTTAAACTGGGTATCCCCAACTGTCAATCCATATGGTGTAGATACTGTTAGACTTGGAATCCCTAACTGTCACTCCATATGGTGTAGATACTGTTAGACTTGGAATCACCAACTATCATTCCATATGGTGTAGATAATGTGGAACTGGGTATCCCCAACTGTCACACTTCATATGGTGTATATAATGTTAGACTGGCTACCCCTAACTGTCACTACATACGGTGTAGATAATGTGAAACTTGGTATTAGTATTCTCAACTGTCATTCCAAATGTTGGAGATAACTTTGAACTAAGTATCCCTTATTGTCACTCCAAATGGTGTAGATAATGTTAGACTAGGTACCGCCACTATCACTTCATATGGTTTAGATAATATGAACTGGGTATCCAACACTGTCATTCCATATAGTGGAGATAATGTGAACTGGATATCCCCAACTGTCACTCTATATGGTGGAGATGATGTGAACTGGATATCTCGACTGTCACTCCATATGGTTGAGATAATGTGAACTGGATATCCCCAACTGTCACTTCATATGGTGTAAATAGATCATAAGGGAACTGAGTATCCCCAACTGTCACTCCATACGGTGTAGATAGATAATGAGGAACTGGGTATCCCTAACTGTCACTCCATATAGTGTAGATAGTAGATAGATAATATGAGACTAGGTTCCCCTAACTGTCACTCCATATGGTGAAGATAATGTTAGACTTGGAATCCCCAACTGTCACTCCATATGGTGATGATAATGTGAACTGGATATACTCAACTGTCACTTCATATGGTGTAGATATATCATGAGTGACTGGGTATCCCCAACTGTCACTCCATATGGTGTAAATAGATAACGAGGGACTGTGTATCCCCAACTGTCACTCCACATGGTGTAAATAGATAACGAGGGACTGTGTATCCCCAACTGTCACTCCATATGGTGTAAATAGATAACGAGGGACTGTGTATCCCCAACCCTCACTCCATATGGTGTAGATAGTAGATAGATAATATGAAACTAGGTATCCCCAACTGTCACTCCATATGGTAGAGATAATGTTAGACTTGGAATCCCTAACTGTCACTAAATATAGTGATGATAACGTGGAACTGGGTATCCCCAACTGTCACGCTTCATGTGGTGTATATAGTAGATAGATAATATGAAACTAGGTATCCCCAACTGTCACTCCATATGGTGTAGATAATGTTAGACTTGGAATCCCTAACTGTCACTAAATATAGTGATGATAACGTGGAACTGGGTATCCCCAACTGTCACGCTTCATGTGGTGTATATAATGTTAGACTGGCTACCCCTAACTGTCACTCAATATGGTGTAGATAGATCATGAGGAACTGGGTATCCCCAACTGTCACTCCATATAGTGTAAATAGATAATGAGGCACTTGGTATCCCCAACTGTCACTCCATATAGTGTAAATAGATAATGAGGGACTAGGTATCCCCAACTGTCACTCCATATGGTGTAGATAATGTGAAACTGGGTATTCCCAACTGTCACTTAATATGGTGAGGATAACTTTGAACTGGGTATCCCCAACTGTCACTCAATATGGTGTAGATAATGTTAGACTTGGAATCCCTAACTGTCACTCCATATGGTGTAGATAATGTTAGACTAGGAATCCCTAACTGTCACTCCATAAGGTGTAGATAATTTTGAACTGGGTATCCCCAACTGTCACACTTCATATGGTGTATTTAATGTTAGACTGGCTACCCTAACTGTCACTTCATATGGTGTAGATAGATCATGAGAGCTGGATATCCCCAACTGTCACTCCATATAGTGTAAATAGATAATGAGGGACTGGGTATCCCCAACTGTCACTCCATATGGTGTAGATAGATAATATGAGACTAGGTATCCCCAACTGTCACTCCATATGGTGTAGATAATGTGGAACTGGGTATCCCCAACTGTCACACCATATGGAGTGACAGTTGGGGATTCCAAGTATTCTTATGGGGGTTTCTAATGACCATGACTGGCTATAAAGCTCTCCCACGGTCGGCATGTAATTTTTGAGATGTAAGATATGCCAATGCTAATACAACTGCTTACTAAATATTATTGACTTATCATAAGTGATTCCCCTTAAACTGACCTAATCACAAACTTTAACCTGTAAACTATGCAAAAGTTTTAAAGTCAATAGACCATAACTGAAGGGGTTTGGACAAATAATCTCCATGACAATAAGATGTACCAATGCTTATACAACGACATACCAAATATCATTGACTAACCATAAGTGGTTCCACTCAAACTGTCCTAATCAGTCGCTACCACAAACTTTAACATGTAAATTGTGCAAAAGACCGTGACTGAGGGGGTTGGGCTAAATAATTTCAATGGAAATGAGATGTGCCAAAGTTTATACAACTTCATACCAAATATTATTGGTTTACCATAAGTAGTTTCTTTTAGGGATGGTTGCTAATTGTTTTTGACGTTTTGTCAGATATATGGAATCCTCTGGTTTTATCCATGTGGTGCCATTCAAAATTTAGCCCCCTAACCCCTACTTTTCTTTTCCTAATTATATTACATATAGTTGTAAAAGCCATTTCTGAAATTCTTTTCAAATCCTTATTATTTTTTCATATGTCTTGAAAGAAAAAAAGGTGCTAATGATAAATACATGAAAAATCTAGAGAGAATGATTTCCTGCCAAATTTTCAATGGCTTATATCTCAAAAACAAGGACATGGATCTTGTATTTTTCTGCTGTTTTAGTTCTATACATGTACTATCAATTCATAACAGTCTTTTAAATAGCTTGTTATTTTGAAACAGAGTAGCGAACATCCCTAAACTGACCTAATCACAAACTTTAACAAATTGTTGATGATACCAAACCTAGAAACAGCACACTTAAGTTTCGCTTTTTGACTCTGTCAAGGTAAGAAACAAATCAGAAATCCTGAGCAATGTTTAAACAGAGAATTCAAAACCTATGGATCTCTTCTAAGAATGGGGATGCATTTTGTACACCTACTTAATTTTGGACCTTCAGGATGGCCTGAACATCACTTACTAGGGTACCAAGACTGCACAATATAATTCATAAGTTGAAATTCTGAAATGGTCTATTGGACAAGTGAAGAATTATTTGTACAGTTGTAGGCAAATAACTCCTATCAATACTGACAGTGATCTAAAAGGGTGACTTATAGTTTCTTATATCCACATCTGTTGGTCTTGGGTTAATAGTTGTCTCATTGGCAACTTTCATACATCTCTTTATTTCATATAAGGTGTATCACTGATATCTTTTCTTTTTGTATGATGGTACAGTAAAATATATGTTTTCTTTTTCATGTACATCATTCAACTTTCTTTTCAATGTGAATTAATATCTTTTTATCATTTTAATAGATAACTCAAGAGATATAAAGAATTGGAAATAGTAAATTCTTGAGCAATAAAAAATAAAACTTCAGTTATAATATTGCTGAAACATTTATTTATTTTTTCATAAATTTCACACCCTATTAACACAGGGATGTATATAAATAATATCTGATATTTATTGTACACTTTTAAAAATATGGAACCAGTAATATTTCAACTTGCATACAAATTCTATAAATAGGATACTGAAAGACAATGAAACTTTATTGTGATATGTTAACAACAACATCTGGTACCCTTGTCCAACACTTTATTTTATATCAGATTTTGGTACCCTTGTCTAACACTTTATTTTATATCAGATTTACTGTAATGTATATACAAAAAAGATGTCCATTTTTCTGCATATTCTGCAAAGTTTGTTTTAGATGAAATATTATTTTTTAATAGGTAGATTTGGTATGATTGCCAATGAGACAACAAGATTAGTATTGTATAGGATTTTACTCTTTAACATTTTTGACAAGGCATATTAATCAAAGTGAGTGGGGCACAAAAGAGAATAAACATTACTTTCACTGTGCAATGTAAACTTAAAAATTGCATTAAACAAAGTAACAAATTAAGGTAATATTTTGAATTGAATTATCCCGCTTTGTAAATAATTTAAACGTGGGGAGACATTATTTGTTGGTCTGAGACAACGTTCGAAAAATCTTGGACTATTTTTATTACAACCATGTGCAAGGAATAAATGTAGTATAATATTGGGTAACAAAATAAATAAAATGTTGAAGAAAGACACCAGATGTATATACATTTACACAAAAAGATATGTCAACGTTACAAAAATATTGCATGATATAGGTCATTATAGGAATGTTGTCACACATTTTATCACAATAAAAGATGAAAAATACACATTCTTGGATAAAAGCGCACCTGAATACACAGATATGTCTCATTAGAGTCATGATATGTAGAAGTTATGACCCTTTGATATATAGGAGTTATGTCTCTTTGATATGTAGGAGTCATTTCCATTTTAACAGAAAGAGACAGACATAAGTTTTACAATTAAACACTTTGTAATTATATTTTTGAACAAAAAAAATCAATTTTTTATCAACTTTAACACATCGCTGTTTGAAAGTCTGTGAAGAACCTAGAATTTGTAATAGGACGAGAATTACAGGAAATCTAGAAAGCCTATCAAATCATATGATATGCTTTTAATTTTAAATTCATCTTTTTGATTTTGTAAAGAGAAGGTTGCCTGCATTGGTAAAATTCAAAGATTTTGTCTTATTCGATTGTGAACTTCAAATTATAACAAGGTGAGCATCAAATAACAATCTATACATAGCCATTATATAGATTATCACATATTTAAGTGAGACAATTGTTTATGCCTGTGACAAGGTTAAATTATAACAATATAATTGTACCTGAAAAGGTAGGAAATGACTGAACAAAACTTAATTTTCTCTTTAGCACTTTGTCCTGAGATATGAATAGGTATTTTCAGGTCGTATGTTATTCTAAATAATAAGTTATTTAGTTTTACAAACAAACTGATCACAGACTCAAGGAATGTCATGATTACTTATTATTGATAGCACTTCTTTTTACATGATGTAAGTTATATACGCGAAATCAAAAAATCAGATCTATTTGAAGTACAATGGAGATTTTTCTTCTGAAATGACAATTAATTTCTAAACTTATAAGATACCACTAATATTAACAATATCTTAGGAAAATGTGTAAGAAATTGTATGTAAACATAGCAGGTCCGAATCTTAACGAATAAATAGTTAGTGAAATAACAAAATTCAAGATTTAATGAATTATTATTAACATTCTCATCAACTGAACAAATTTGCTGACATAATAACCTGGAAAGTAGGAGTAACTACAAGTATATTTAACAACAACATTAAAAAAAATCTATCAGAAAAAAAGTCCTAAACAGTGGATATTTAACAACAAATTTTAAGAAATTTAATTTTTTGCCAATTGCCATTACTTTTTATCCCCTAACACAGGTTCCACATATCATAATATTAGACTATACTTTGAATTGAATGGAATTCAGTCTTTATTATCTAATGGATTATGGGTATTTTCTATTTTTACCCACCAAACTGAAAATAATGTAATGCAATCATTCAAATATCCATTCTTTAGGATCCTTTTAACCAATCACAAATTTTGGGTGTTTGCATTTGTGAGAAGATATGTTCAGATACATTGAAACTGTTAATAAACCAATATGTATTATATAAATTCGACTCCAATGTTGAATCGATAACAATTTTACGTTGGTAATTAAATATTACCACATAACAAAAAAATGAATAAAAGATGATACAAATCCTCAATAAACTGGTTAATAAGTCAAGTCTTCAGGTCAAAATTTGCATAAGGTAAAGATTAGGAAAAATACATGAATATAAAATCACATGAAGTATGATGAGTTATCTCCCTTCCAATGTTGATCCAAATATTGCAGTGCAGTCATCAATCTGAACATTGAGCCAAGTGTTCATATCCCAGTTATTGCAGATATACATTGTATTCCATTCAAATGCTATACCTCACTGAAAAAAAAACAAAACATAAGATATAATGAACCTGTTAAAAAACGTTAGTGTTTTTTATTTCATTTTATCAAGATTTGAATGTAATTGTTTTTTTGCCATTAGCTCATCTACTAATCATGCTAATTGGTAAACAGATTTATTGCTGAATAGTAACAAAATGTTTACAAGCCTGGACCCATGCCGGCAGTCCCGGCATTCCCATCAGTAAATGTTCATAGTTATGTTTTCGTCTAACAGAATTTGTGTTGTTGTCTCATGTTGGTAGTTGTCATTTAATTTTTTCACAACTTGCCTAGACTCCAGGTAACTTACAGGTTAGGGACCTTAGGTTACCTATAGATGTCTATTTTGGTTTTGTGTTCTCGGGTTAGTTTCTTAATGATTTATACCCACATACTTCCTTTTATTCACTTACAGTTTAAAATACTGTTGATTAATTTATTTTCGTGGATATCTGATTTCTTGGTTTTGTCTATAATTAGTTAGAACCACATTAAACATTTAAATTCGTGGTTTGCCTATACCCATGTTATCCACAAAAATTGGTATCCAACCAATAATGATGAATCAACAGTAAGTCAAAAAGAGCATCACAGAATGATCGATCACAACAAAAATCCAACCACCTAATTCATTGAAATGCAATAAAATACCCTGTCCTCCAATCCCTGACAAACCTTTCTTATTTAGGATGGCAGTGATCAACCAGGAAGGAAAAAACACACCAGGAAGAATTTTGAAACTTGAAACCCTAGGGATGATTCTGATAAGAAATAGTCCTGTGGATTCACAGATTTATGAAAAAGTTTAAAGATAGACTGTGAATATAAACTGATGAAAAAAGGTATGGTCCAGGGGAGATAAATATCACAATTCTTATAACTACCAAATACACAAAGAGGTAATGAAATCTAACATGTACATGTATAGAGTGAAAAAAAAATAAAAAAAAAAAGAATGTATTAATAGGACACAATGCCTTTCTTTAACCACATTTCAATATCAGTGACCTGCCAAAATCAGGGGCAAAACACTAATAAGGCAAAGTTCATATGATAATGAACATCTGATTCCTGTGTACTAATCTAGTAAATGAAAATGGACATCTGCACCAAGTTTAAAGTTGGTATGACCTTTAGTTCAAGAAAAACAACCTTAAATCAAAGATACAGGACAGGCACACAGACTAACAGACAAAAATACAAACCGGAAAATGTACCCATAATGTGCCTTTATATTGCAGGCAAGGCATCAAAATTTGTTCTTTCTTAAGAGTTGAAGATGGATATACAAAATAAAAAGTGTGTTTATACATTGTTTTTATGTTGTAGTTAATGTTAACCTTGAGCTTACCTTGCTTCTACATCAGCACTAAGTAACAACTGACGTTTCATTTTTAACAAGTGTGTACTTGAGTATTTAGTTTTATCCATTGTTGGCAAGTCAACCGAGGATATTCCATCTTTTCTTTCACTAGTAGTCAATTCTTTAAATAGAATAGCAATATCTGTCGTGGATTTAGACTTTGTGCGGTCATGTTCAGAAATTTCATGATAATCATCTTCACTGTGCCGAGATTCATATATAGTACCAATATCACTGGTGTCTCTCATATAGTCTGATTCTTCACAAATATCACCTTCTGGACTTAAATGTAATGAATTTGTCGAACTAACACCACTAGAACTATGTATACTCCTGAGAGAATCTGAACTTTGTATTTTGTGTTTCAAAACACCTTGTCTTTCTTCATTCTGATCTGTAGTTCCGAAATTCCATGAAAGTCTTTTATAAATACTGTTATCTTTATCATCATTCCTATTTAAATCCTGAATGGCATCTGCCGTGTGATAACGTTTTTCTGATCTCGATGATCGTCTTTGGTTTATTTTGGCTTTGAGATTATCGTCCACAATATCTGGTAATGAAGAATCACTATTTGCGGAAGAAACGTTTGATGACGGTATTTTTAATCGTTCATCGTCGGGAGAATTATCCACAAAAGTTGGCACTGAATAAGAAGTTTGTACTTTACCGTGTTTTTTCATATCATCTTTTGTTACACTGTCTGTAAAATGTCGAGACTTAATATCCTGGTCTGAGCTGGACTTCGACAATGCATGCGGTGAGAGAAGCTCAGACGGACTTGGTTCACCGTTTGTAATATAACTATCACCATTTGCAATTGTCCGAGAAATAACAACATCAGGAGGATTATCGTCAGGTTGATGTAACGGAGTCACACGTATAATTTCCTCTTCTACAGTTACTGGTACATAATAGGATTCTGAAGTCTTACATTCAGTCGACAGATTACGATATATATCCTGGGCTTTACGTATATGTTCTATCCAGATATTTATAGCACGCTGATCTGCATGGAATGTGAACGCAGAGATTGGAATGTAATACTCATTCAGATAAATTAAGAGGAAACTTCCTAAAAAAAAAACCAAATAATCTCTTTGAATATCTTCCTAACAAAACAACAAGTGCGTATAACATTATATGTTTCTGTAAATCATGTTTAATTTCTTGTTTTTCACTGTTTGATGATTGCTTGATATTTCAATTACATTTCGTGTGTTAGATCTTGGTTCTTTTCTATATTGATATTTCTGTATTGAATATAATGCAATTTAAAAATATTTTGTTGTTGCTGATATTCAGTTTTAATGTCGCAGTAATATTTTATTGATGTATAAAATGATAATTTTATCTGATCTTGTTGGATTACAAACTTATTCCCCTCATTGGAGGTTTTATAATTTTGTATTTTTCAATATGTTTACTTGGCGTTTATATTATTACTATACCGTTAAATGAGTCCTACCTTTATCTTTAAGCTCATGTACTATAAGCCTATCGACCCTCATTGGAGGTTTTATAATTTTATATTTCTCCATACGTTTACTTGGTTTACATATCAATAATAAATCGGTGAAAAGTAAACATTCTACATCCATCTGAAAAATAAAAAAATATTCAACCATCAAACTTATAGGATAATTAATCATAGACTTCGTATGTCAAAAAATATTCAATGAGTGGTTGAACAATCTATTCACAAAGGCCTGTATGTGACTCTAAGGATTAGTTTTTTTCCTTTGATAACATTGACTTTCAATATATAAATAATATAAGAAATAAAAAGGAACTATGTCTTTTTGTATGCGTCCTCACTTTGTTTTGAAGTAACTTCGTAAACAACACGTAATGCTTTAGTTGCATGACGTCAGGGAAGTAAAAATTCAGAATTAATTACATAAAAAGATTGGTTTTTATTGACTTCTTATATGATATACTTGTAGGTAGACCATTAAAATATATTTATTACCTTGGTTGCAATGAAATTTTGTGATTTCCTTGTCAAATTTATGTTATTGTTTCACAAGTATCATACTAACTTGTAAATAAGTCTGTAAACTTTATGGCACAATTAAAATTGAATATGGACCTGAATTATAGTTATTGTATATTTGATATATTTTTCAGTGAAAAAATGTAAATAAAAGCTTTAAACTTTATATGAAATTTTGCAAACAGACATAAGAAGATTTAGTATGCATGGCGTACTGTTGAAACAGTTTGTAAAGCCTCATGTAGAATCAGAATAGAAAAACAAAAGATATGGGATATCCATCCATGACACAGTTCATGCACAGCAAAAAACACACACAAAGCAAAGGAACAGTGCCTTTATTGCTGTTCTTCATCTCAGTCACAGTCAGGCCTTCAACATAGAGCAAAAAAACTCTCACCTCACTGCAAGCTTAAGACGGCCCCTAGCATGGATTTGAGAGGAATTCTTTGCAAAATAAGTAAGTAAAATTTGTAAGATGTAACACCAGAAGTCCATTTAGTAAATAATATTATGTTATTTCATAGTACAATCAAACCAATCCCGCCATAAGACAATAAAACAAATATAAATAAATAATGGCAATAACCTTAATTTAGAAGCATGCAGGTTTATATATATCATGAATCTCTATACATATATTTACCACAACAGAATTTCAAAATCCCAAAGTTTTATTTTTAGTCACAGACACCTACCCTTGTTGTTGTATCCTTCAGTTTCAAAACTGATTGCATGATTAGAGAACGTGATTGTGTAGCACTACATCCTGGCATCGGAGCTCTAAGGTCAAAGTTTGTATTGTATTCCTGTATAAATTTAAGTGATTCATCATTTGGAGCCTCTACAGCATCGTAAGACTCAATCTTTGTAATGATGGACGCCAATCTTTCTTGGTCATGTCGATGTTTTAATGTTAAATTTACACTAGAGACAAACTTATCCACACTTGCAATCTGAAATTAAAAATGTACCAGTACTGAGGTTAATAATATAGAGGAAATTTCCACATTCTTTATGCAATTTATCAAATACAAATTCATCCGAGTTCAATATAAAAAATACCTGTAAATTTTCCATTACTAAGACAAGAAACTTTTGGATAGCGCAATGTATTGTGAGCTGTTGATCACTATTTATACCCATGATCAAAATTTAAAGGAACTAAAAAAGAAATTCACCACATGAAATACCCAGATGAGTAGCTTGATGCCATATATCAAGAACCTATAATGTGTGGTTGCTAAGAAATATGAAACAGACAGGCCAATGTAAAACACTGATAATAAAACAATCTCTTCTTTTCTAAAGACAATGATATATATTTACCATTTCTAAGAGAGCTCTTCTTTGTTTATCCTCCTCTGTTTTCCTGAGGATGGCTTGTAATAAAAGTGAGTACTTGGTAATCCTCTGCATCGGCTTGACTAGTAAATCTGTTAACTTGAGACGTTTACATTGAGGTTGTGACTCCGCCCACTAGAAACAAAAAAATTCTATCTGTTAGCTATAGAATAGTGACTCAATTAATTGAAAAACAGATGAACACACACAAGAATTTTTTTTTTGCAAAACAATATTTCTCAATCAAATGTAATTATTACAACAAAACATAACATAACTTCACACCACAGAAAAAATTAATCCTTACGTCGATGTATCATACTCCATATTTTATACATGCAATTTTTAAAAGTTTCATTTTTATAAGTTATATTTCATAACTCCTTATAATGTAATGTCTTCCTACCTAGAAGAACTAATTGCTTACATCCACTTCATTTGAACTTTGATGGATAGTTGTCTCATTGGCAATCATACCTCACATCTCCTTATTTTTATAAGCAGTAAAATAAAAAATAAATGTGATGCTATTTTCAACTCAATGTCACGTTTTTGCATTACTGAATTCTTGTCTATAGGTTAAAAGTCTAAAGAAACTTAACATTTATTTTATAACTCTGTAGAACTAAATAACACAATATATAAATGATAAAACTTGAAGATTTCACACACTACATGTAAACTTACCACAACATAAGTTTTAAATAAATCATTTTCAGCATATCTAGCTTTTATAAAATCTGTAGAAGACTTCTGTTCTACACAGTATTTTATATAAGGTGTAAATGTTTCTGGAAACTGAAAAAAAAAATTGTTCAATGATGAGAAATTATAAATGGAGAATAATTGTACATCAGTAGGCAAACACTTAATAGCTAAACTTTTTCAAATATTGTGTATTCCATATAATTCTTATCTTTGAAAGCTGGTATCAAAAAATTAACCATCAATATAATTTTATATGTGCGTCCCCACCCATTCTGTTCTTACGTAAAAGAGTTTTCAGATTTTGAAAATTATAATTACACCTACAGATATCCAATGAAATGTTCTGTTAGCTCAAAACATTTTCAGTGTTATGCAGAAACAATATGTTAAATATAGCTTTTTAAAGTGAAAATTATATGTAAATATTAAAACAATGAAAAAACAAATTTTCTAAAGTGTACCTTTTTAAAACCATCTCTCATTATAGATGGATTTAAGGGTAGACGACTTTCTCTAGCTTCCTCTAACACTGGGACTAATGTCGACTCCCAGAAATCACAGTTAACACAAACAATTTCACCAACATTGCTCAATTGTTCAGTTTTAATCTAAAAATAAAAATAATCCAGAAATTAGTGTGTGTCACACTAAAATAAAATAGAAATGGTTGATTATTAAAACCATTCTTAATATAGCTTTTTTTTTAAGAAATTTAAATAAAAAAGACAAGAGATTTTCTACTTTTTATTTCTTTTCAACAAAATAATAACATTGTTGTATTATTAAACAAGGATTGAATCAATTGTTTCAATATATTTGTGATGCATTCAGATCCATGATTGGTTTCACAAAAATAAACTCACATTTTAAAATTTGATAGCATTATTTGTGCAGAGCATCCTCTGAAATCGCAATAATTAATTTATCATATTTGTCCATTGTTCAACACAAAATTTAGAGTATTTCAAACACATGTATTTTGATATACAACTCCTTCATCTGAACAATATATTTGTCTTATGAAAATTAAAACTTTAAAAAGGGTTCAGTATAGAACTGTACTTGAACATTATATGTTCAACTTTGCTGATTTTTATTTCAAAGTAAATATGGTGTAAATTTTTGATAGATAAAACACTTGTACCCGTAACCAAATCAGCAGATCTTTATGGAATCATTATCAAAATGGAGGTCAAATATTCATACATGTTAAAATGTAAACTGACTTTTAAAATAGAGCAACACGTAATACTACATGATTGAAAGGAAGAGATGTTAAAGAGTTGTGGTTCTTACCTCAGACAGAAGTCCTTCACTTTGTAAATTCAATATCACACATAAAAATAGCTGAAAAGAGAAAACAAAATATTTCAACCTTCTGTATCATTTAACAGTGACCAGATATGATATGTATGATCACCTTATTTTAAGAATCTTTGAATGATATTTAGTTCCTTGGTGTAACATCAATGAATCCTGTTAAGCAGGTTGTAATGGGTTATTTTCATTTCACATATTTTGGACGTTGAAGCTCATTATACATTATGTTTTGTTCAAATGGGTAAAAATGCAATGTGTACGCAATTTTTTTTTTTTTTTTTTGGTTCATCATGAAATATTCATTTTATTTCCCATTCCTCTATACACATACAAGTTTACACAAATTTTTATATCAAAGATTTGGATGTAAAGTATTGGATCAAGCCCACAGTTTAAATATCCACAACTTTTAAAGATTATACTTTCAGATTGAACATATGACTTACATCTGTTATAACCCTGAGTGTTTTTATATAATTGATTTCAGTCTGTAAGAGTTCCCATATGGCCTCTTGTTGATCATGCTGTCGTTTTGTAAGACCCTGAAAAATAGAAATATTTTGTAACACGAGTTATAAAATGAAAGAGGAGGCATAATGAATAATTGATAGCAAAGAAAAAAACATTAATATCTGAAATTTTGCAATTGTAATAACTTTTTATTAAATCAATATTTTGTGTTTTGAGTTTTGATTTGACAAGTACTGATGGTAATTTTGGAAATGCATGCAGGGCCAGTAGTATTTCCTTCTAAAACAGACACTCAGGGACAGCAGTATTTCATTCTTAATAGACTAAAAAGTGTAACAAGCTACCAATAGCACAAAATGAAAAATACTTTGAAAAAAGACAGAAAACACCGTAATGACAGAAAAAGAAAGGACAGATTAACCTGAACCCTATCAAAACCTCATCTGCCATAGGACTTTCCTGCTCCACTATCATGACTAGTGACAACTCATGCATATTGCTACTCTGGTTAAAACCTGTTATTAGCTCATTACTGTTGATATAGATTTATACAGAAGTGGAAATGCAAATGTTTCTTGCAGTCTACTGTAAATACATGCCTGCAATTCATTTCACAAAAAATCCTCTGCGAAAAAAATATTTGTAAGTCATTTCAGCATAACTTATCATACATTTTTGTTGTAAGATTTTTTGTGGAAACTACCAGAATGTGAAAGGATAGACCAGAATATTACAATGTAATCATTTTTGCCCTAGATGTGTACTCAGATTTTGCCATCAGATATCTCTCTTTATTCAGATAAATGATGTCACTACTATTTGCACCTTTTGAATGAAAAATACAAATAAATTAAATCTAGAAAATTTGGAGTGACACAGTTTAGAGGTATTAGTTAGGGCTATGAAATCAAAAACTTGTTTTAGATGGGGTTATTGTGGCCTACTTGACACCGCCCACGACAAAGTTAATCAGAGGGTTCAAATTATATAATTTTTCACCTGTAAACAGGTTAATATTGCTGCATCATTTAAATATGTATAAAATGAGTCATCAAAAATCTTGAATATAAACAACTTTCTTTTCACTTACAATGAACATTAAGTATCTGCATTTCCTTGAAATAACTTAAAATAAATAGAAGATAAGTATATGAGTATTTGATGGTTTATGTCGTAAAACAATTGTCTGGGCACTTACAATGAAAAGTTTGTGAAAGGAAGGACAAAAACAAATATTTAAATGAATATGAAGATAAAAGTATTGAAAGCTGTTGATAATAAGACCAAAGAACAGGATATCGACTATACATTCTACATAAAAGGTCATTCTTTTAATCTTCACCAGGTGAAACAGGGATTATTATAGATAAATTCTATTTATCCATATTTTGGAAAATTCAAAAGCTCTGTAAAATTCTGTCAAAAGATAAAAATGAAAAAGTTCAAAAAAACATAACAGAAATTTACATTAATATAGGACAGCAAGTCTGACTTGGTATCAACTGACATACCAAATGTCAATAATAAGACAAAAAAACACAACTTTACTCAAAATATCTGAACTTCAATAGATGTTCATTTTCTGTATCCATGCCAATTACTTTAACTGATTGACTTATTAATTTAAAAATAAATCCATGATTAATTTTAAGACACTAACTGGTAATTTTGTTTTTTCCATAAGTCTATTTATTTTAAGTTATTTCAAGGAAATGCAGATACTTAATGTTCAAACTAAATCACAAGACTTGCTTATACTTTTATTTACTAATGTCTCAACTTCTAAACTTTGAAGGAGATTCAGCTTCTCTTTATGGTACATGTATAAATGTTCATGTAACCTTCTAAAACCTTATGGACTTTCCCAAGCTCTGTGGTATCTATTACATGTAACCTTCTAAAAACTTATGGACTTTCCCAAGCTATGTGGTATCTATGTTCATGTAACCTTCTAAAACCTTATGGACTTTCCCAGGTTCAGAGTTTCAGCTCTGTGGTATCAATGTTCATGTAACCTTCTAAAACCTTATGGACTAGTTTCAGCTCTGTGGTATCAATGTTCATGTAACCTTCTAAAAGTTATGAACTATCACAGGTTCAGCATTTTTTTATGTGGTATAAATTTTCATGTAACCTTCTAGAAACTTATAAATTTTCCTCGGTTCAGCATTTTTCTGTGGTATTAATATTCATGTAACATTCTCAAAAGTAAGCAAGTTTTATAAGAAAGTCCAATTTTTTTAATCTTTCCAATTTGACCTACAAACTTCTCATAACTCATTTTAACCGACTTGTTTGTTTATTTAATTTCAATAATCTTTTGTTCAAAAGCTTTATACTAAATCAAATTAGGATAAAAGAATTAAGATTAAAATCTATTTAGTAAAGTGGTTTATGTACGACCACTTAAACGGTCAATTACGCCTATTCATGAAATTAATTGAGGTATAATTTTAATATCACCTTTACAAAAACAAAAATCCATGTGTCACCAATGTTTGTTTTTATTTTTGATCTAAGTTTGACCCTTCTGGAAGTATTATATTGAATAATATCAAATTAAGGTTAATTTGATCATAATAAATAAGAAATGGCTATTTGTTCCCATTTCAGTAAAGAAATATATACAGTAATAGGATTTGGTAACAGACTTGTGTTAAAATGTCACATTTACATAATAAACAACTAAAAATCATTTTTGTTCCATTGAAATATGCTCAATTTTGCTGTAAATGTATATTTTGTATATTACATATATACAAAGAATTCAAATCAATAATATTAAACTGTAATGCAAAATGTAAAATAAGTATTTTGCATTTTACATTACAGTAAAAATTTGACAAAAATAAATGAAATGTAAAAGATAACAAAAATGAGTTGATTATGACATATAAGAAACCATGGAAATAAAATATATTTGTTTTTTTTAATTGCATCATCTGACATTTGTAAAAATTAATGTTTGGAATGTTTGTAAATAAGATCATTCTCAAAAACCCCTAAAGATTCACATTAACTTCATATAGAAATATTTTATTTTTATATATATATATATTATATATATATGTACAAATTATTCTATCCACGATAGATACTAAAAAAGAACTCATAGTATTTGTCATTTATATCTATGAATATTATACATATATTTTGTTTTGGACAAGTTTGGTCTTTAGAGTTTGAAGGCTGATATTCTTTTTGTGAAAATAAAAAGGTGTATATTGTGAATTCAAGAACCTGTAATTCTGTTGTGTACTCTTAAACCACTGTCTCAGGTAAGGGGGAAAGTTGGGTGCCAGCAAACATTCAACTCGCCACATATGTGGCTGTTCTAAGTCGGAAGCCTGTAATTTAGTGGTTGTCTTTTGTTGCTGTATATCATATTTGTTTTTGTTCATTGTTTTGTACATATATAAGGTCGTTAGTTTTTTAATTTTTTAAAATCTATCCGGGCCTTTTATAGCTTTTTATATGCGCTATTGATTTTGCTCATTGTTGAAGGCTGTACAGTGACTTATAAGTGCTAAAATCTACGTCATTTGGTCTCTTGCGACAGTTTTCTCATTGGCAATTATACCACATCTTCTTATTTTAATGTAACATGAAATAAAAATAGGTTAACATTATAACTATTCCTTTTCAAAGTATACATGTTTACATATATAGCCATGTTCTCTTAAGTTTCAATCGTTTGTTTTATTTCTTTTTTCTTGTTATAAATTAACATGAATATTAGACCATTATAAACATCTACATATGAGAGTGATCCAGTTATAAATGTAGGTCATAAGGACAATCTTAGAAGCTATTATCATATCTCATTTCCGTTGACCTCCAATAAGATGTTTAAAGACTGAACATGTAAATATGTTGAAGGCCAATATCATATTCAACAGACTACAGTAATTGTATAATTGGCACAAAATGCAATAATCAGAAGTTTACAACTAGGCCTTGAGAGATAGTCCTCTGATTGTTGCTCTTCATATTAAGTTACTCTAAGACCTTTATATGCAAATAACACTTTATTAATTCTGTGCGTCTGACACATTTATGGATTTACCTGAACCAGAAACACTCAAACTTATCAAAGCCAGGTGTTTGAATACATAGACACATTTGGAGCTATTTGACCAAAAGGGACCTAAAATGAATAGCGAAATTCATCCTAGGTCAACTTTGCCTGAGGGCGTTAGAACCTTTATGATAAAAGTATCATTCAAATTCTTGAGTAACTTGCAGAGCTCAGAAATACCCTTTCAGAAGTATTGTATGAGGCAGACCTTTATTCTATTCGACTGAGTCTGTCCGACTATGAAACTTACTGATGCATTCTCTACAATAGAGCTCCAGTGAGGTTCCATTTCGAACATATCTTCTTTTTCGGACTGTGTCTCTCGTCCAAGAGTAAGCAGTTCTGGCATATGTGGGATTCCATTTGTACTATAGTTGTTTAGCAACTCGTTCAACTGATCTTGTTTCTCACGGTCCTGAAATAAAACAAACAATCATTAAATAATGAATGGAGGTGCTATATTAATTCTTTTTTTTTTTTAATTTAATTTCAAGGTGACAAATACCGGTACTTATTGTATCTGGATTCAATAAATAAAAAGTTTGATCCAGGGTCAAACAAAAGTCAATCGAAAGTTTTGTCTGCTGTTTATAACAATCTAATCCTCTATAGCAAAACATCTAAATAAATTTCTTATCCAATAAATATGAGAATGACAACTTTTTATGAATAGATGTATTCATCTCAATTTTATAGCAAGCAATTTCTTAAATTTATGAGGTTGAAGAAGTTGGCTTTTCTGTATCAAAACAACCATTATACTCAACAATTGAGGGTCAAACTGAGGTAAAGGTTTGACAGACATAAACTGATTCAAGCTGAGGCAAATATTGAGCATTTAACAAAACTTTATCCTGTCCATATACTAACTGATGATAGAATGAGATAAGTCACTCCCTGTTTCTCTAAACAGGCCTCATCTAAAATTTAAAGTATTTTCAAGATATAGGACTACAGGTGTAAAGATATTTATTTGTTTTATCTCAGTTTTGGTATCCCCTTATTGATTTTTTATTCCTGAAGCCAAAAACTACTATCTGCAAAAAAAGATCTGTGAAATGTTTTGTTAGCTTATAGAAAATGTTCATGACCTACAAGTATTTTCACGTTAGATTTTTGTGACAATTGTTGCTGTAAAAAAAAATGTTGCTCAGTTGTTTCCAGGATTCATGTGTAAAACAGCAGCTAAAATTAAATAAAGCCTTCATGAAACAGACAAATTGCTTCTAATATCAAATTTCTCCTACCTTCCAGTGTCTCATTTTTAACAGCGCTGTCACGTCAATATACATCCCATAATATCATAACACATTTTAATACAGCAGTACTTTTATAATTCAGTTTACAAAATCTTTATCGCATAAATAAAACATTAATTTCATAAATGAGTGAAAATATCCATATCACATTAATACAGTAACAATAATATAATTCATTTCAATAAATCCAACGTTTTACAAGAAAAATCTGTCACATGTGTTCTATATTACTAACAAATAAAAAATTGTGACTTCAACGCCTTCTCGTCCTTATATAATAATATCAATAACACCCAAAACAAAACCACAAGTTAAACTATAGCGGTGTCACCGCTCTTTATTTTTATCTCTAAAGGTAGTCAAGAAATACAAAGGACTTTTAACACCTAATATAAATATTGTACTCATATAGCCGTTTGTCACCGTATATATCAGTGTATTAGATATGCATACTTCTAGATCAGCTGTGTGCTTTTTTGTTTGACCTGAATAGGACCAACGTCATTTCGGTTAAATCCTATTTTACAAATCAAAATTTGATGAGAAGGGTTTCATTTTGTATTTTATGGTAATACTAATAATGAAATGCTTGGTCATTATTTTCTCTTTAACCTTTAATATAGATAACAGTCTTTTTTTTTTATATAATAGAATATCAATTTCAATACGTATGGAATGAAATTTTTTTCAATTCCCCCAACATCATCCTACATTTCATACAATTTTTAATCTCTATTAATTCTATAATATTACGTCACTGGAAACTGTTTTGTACACTCCGCAGTTTTCATATGTAAATTAAATAGTTATAGTTCTCTGGAATGTTATTGTAACATATCATAAAAAAAAAACTTTTCAAACTTTAAATTTATCATTAACTTCTTACATAGATGAAGAATGTAATATAAATTCCTAGAAAATTAGATATTTTAAGCTTACTCTTTTGTCAAAAATATTTAAAACATTTAAATTTGAGAAAATGTTTTCATATCTGACTACTAAATATAGTTTTATCAAATAGGCAGATGTTTCTTTATCTGGTTTAAGACGTAACAGTAATTCTTATTTCGGCCTTCATATAAATCCGGATTCCTATCAACAAGAGTAGCTGAAAATTGGAAAGAAAGAATTTAAATTACTCAAACATAATTATCCTCAGCTATAACAAATGTTGAGATGTAATAAAGATGTAAGAATCATATTAATACAGGAGCCTATGTAATAGTTTCAGATTTTTTTACAGACAGACCATATATTTGGTTTATAAAACACAGGACTAATATGTAAAAATAAATTGTTTTCTGGGAAATGTTTCAACCTGCCTAATATGTTTATAAAGGACCTTTACAGCATTATAGGGAATTTCTTTCTAAAATAACAAATTTGCACATAATTATGCAAATCTAAAAAAAACAGATGATTTTGAAATATCTTTTAAGACTAAGTTAATATCAGGATTCTTTTATAAGGTTATACCTTGACCATAGGAATACATTTTTTCCAAATACAATTTAGGAATGGTGATTTTTGTTTCTCAAACTTAAAACTTAAGAGGTTCAGATTTTACTATCAAAGTATAGAAAGTTGCATTATCTACCTACTGTCTTATTTAGTAATACAATTGTATGTCAGGTAAAAATGTAATTAATTACCTGTGTTCAGGTGATTAGTATTACCTGTCACTAGAGGGAAGTGTTGTACTAACGAGTGTTAATAACTGTATCATATTCATTAATTACATTTATAAATCTTTCATAAAGAACAGACATGACGCCAAAATCTTTAGTTTGCTTGCTTATCGTGGATAAATGATTGATTGTTGTTTGCTTTATGTCCAGTGGCAAATATTTCATTTTTGTTCATGAAGATTGCAGAATGAATGAAATGTCTGCAAATTATTTATTTGAAGTTATGATGTTCCCAGGAAGATGTTATGCTTATGAAATAATAGGTTTTAATAATGGTTCACAACTTTGTAGAATAACATCATATGACTCAAACGAAAACAGTTGGCAGACCAAATCAATTACAAATTTGAAGAGCACTGAGAACTAAACTTCCAAAAAAAAATGTAACAAATCTAGCTACAGATATTATTGTATGGGGGTAGAAAACCTTGTTGTTTCAAATGATATTAATATTTACAAACAAATCTAGCTACAGATATTATTGTATGGGGTAGAAAACCTTGTTGTTTCAAATGATATTAACATTTACAAACAAATCTAGCTACAGTTGTTTAATATTGTACAGGGGGTAGAAAACCTTGTTGTTTCAAATGATATTAACATTTACAAACAGTCAATTTACAGAAAATGATTGCATCAAAGATCTTTCCTCTTCTACTGGGCCGGTGATACCCTCATGGAAACAAATTGCAACAACATACGAACTTAGTATTTATAAAGATATGGATAGCAATTTACATGTGAACTGTTTGTTTGATGTACATAAATAAATAAATTAAGTAAGACAATATATATAACTTTGTTTCATCTTAAGTTTTATGTTTTTGTTCTTTATAAACAAAACGATGTAATCACCATGCAATAATGAAAAGAAACACTGGATTCAACAAAACAAAAAATTCTTTTATTCAGCATTGATGTCATTTTGCACGAAGAAACGCTACAAACACCTATGTCATCAAAGATCAAATGATTCAATTCTGCCATTGTTCACTTAAAGAATTATTTAACAGATTTTTATCAAAACTTAATTTAGCTGTACAAAGACTTAATTTATCAGAACAAGATAATCAGATCTAGAGTTACGGTTCTTTTTCTTCTAACAATCGTCAAAATGTCATGCAATACAATGGAAAGGTTGTACTGTTAGAAAAAACCTATAGGTAACAATCTGAATGAAAGTAAAAATGATTTGTTCTTTGTGGTATTAGTACAGACCGAAAGGCCGACAATTACAATACAAAATGTGTCAATTATGTACTTAACATGGCACAAAGTGGCTAAAAAAACCACAAATATTGTTAAACAATCTAAAAATACTGATTGTTTTGCAAAGAACATAGAATTTTATAATAATGTCAATTCAAACTATTGTAGTTGTGGGTGGAAGGATTATAAATACTTTCTGATTAGCAAGTACAATATCACTAATGTCAGGCTGGTCTTTTCTGGGCTATGTGTGTACCATTTATAAAAGTTACAGTAGGACAGACAACACTGAAAAATTGGTTATACCTATTACCAAAAACCTAGTGGCAAATATCTCATCCACCCTGAGCCAAGACAAACAGTATATATATAAATAAGAATGCAGGCGTTTGTCGTGCAAACCAATAAAAGCCCCACTCTTCATTCAACATATTGGAAAACGAGTAGGTTTAATTTGAAATTGACACAAGTTACAACATATTACTGTTGAGCTGCTGAACACGTATGAATTAGCCATTGCGTTAAAACTAGTTTCTGAGAGACCTGTGAGGGAAAACAATTGTTAGACGAACAAACGGTAAGCTGACTGCAATGTAGTCCCTTTCATAAAGTGAGGGCATAATATATCAAATAGAGGTCTTCTGAACAAGAATGTGTCCATAGTACACAGATGCCCCATTCACACTATCATTTTCTATGTTCAGTGGACCGTGAAATTGGGGTCAAAACTCTAATTTGGCATTACAATTAGAAAGATCATATCATAGGGAACATGTGTACTAAGTTTCAAATTGATTGGACTTCAACTTCATCAAAAACTACCTTGACCAAAAACTTTAACCTGAAGCGGGACAGACGGACGGACGAATGAATGGACGCACAGACTAAAAAACATTATGCCCCTAGGTGGGGCATAAAAATTAGTTAAGGATAATTTGGAATTTTTTATGGAATATAAGGGCATGCTTTGTCATGCCCTTTATACTTCAAGTCATCCTGGAGAGTCCATTACAATAAGGGTGTTAAAGTTGAGAGGGATTTTCTAGAAAATGCTGGAAAACATAAAAGATGAGAGTGCATAGTTATACAAGAATTTTTGTTGTTGTAAAAACTACAAAAAATAAATTGACCTTAGTCTCTATTGAATTGTCCAAAATTTACCCCAAAAAATTAAAACTGCTATAAATTATAACTGGTGACTTAAAGCTCAAGGATACGATTTATGACGTACATGTAAAAATTATCAAATGATGTTGAGA